ACACCGTCATTCGGTGGGAAATAAAGAACTTGCAAAGATCGAGTTCATCAGAATATCCCTCTAACAGGGCGGACTTCGCAAACATCGCCTGCGGATCTGTGGCGTAGCCGGCTCTTTTCCGAGTAAACGCGTAGAATTTGATATCGACCGCCTCTTTCCCGTTCATCGTATCAGCCAACAGCCGTTCCATCTTCGGAGTAAGTGAAAAAGGAAGTGAGACTTCGGTGTTAGTGGGCAGCTTCACGGTTATCGCAATGCTTGGGGTCTTCAGACCATCGGTGCGTGTGTAGACAAATGTCCCAAAAATTTGTAGATCGCTACCGTAGTAGTTCTGATAGGGGAGAGACAAAGTGGTGACGTTGCCGGCGCCAGTGGGCAGGACTCGGAGATGCCAGATGTCGAAAGAAAGCGATAGCGTGCCGTACGACGCCTGGCGCACAAGGTAAGGGTCAATGAAGAACAAGATGTGCCATGCCGGGAGGATGTTCCCGTCTGAATCGTGATGGCTATATTCAGGATTGGCAGAGGATGAGAAACGCCAGCCGAGACCGCAGACAATGCCGCTGTCTCGGCCGACGCTGGCCTTGGGGTCGTGCGGCATGAGAATCTCAAAGTTGGACGTAACAGCTCCGCGTGTCCACTCGTCGTTGCCGATCTTCCGTAGCGACATTGAGGTGGCACTGGGATGAGGGAGGTGAGGTGGTGGCAAGACAGAAGAGGAACGGTCATTTATATGCGTTTCGTGTGAACGCATAACACGCGGATTTGGTGCGGTACAGCGCTAGCCTGAGACAGATAGGCGCCCCGGATGTCAGGAAGCCTATAACGTCAGTGTTCCCGGAAAACGAAGCCAGTAGCAGAAGGATTTCGGGGGCAGTCACCAGTATTCTTGCAAGGCGGTACTGCCAGTGATATCGACCAAGGATCCAAGCATAAAGAGCTAAGGAGTACTAGTCGTTCCACCCGAATCATTGACGAGGAGTTCCACAGGAGGATCTGCCCGTGCATTAAATTGCCAGAGACCAGATATCGAAAGTGAGCCTGCGTTTGCAAGGAAGTAGAAGCTTAAGCAAAGGAAGTGGTCGTGTCTCCCGGCCTGGCGAAAATCGTCTGAATCCGGGCCTATTGTTGAGACATGGGATCCGTGACTTCAGCTTGAACAGGCCGTCCTTCAGAATGAACGCCTCAATTGAAGCCAAGTCGAGAGACTGCGGTTGAGGCTGGCCAATTTTTGCGGGGATTTGGTGGTGGTGGCTTGAAGACAAAGAGATCAGTGGCTGTGTCGCAGTGACGGTCGGAGTTTAAACCTTCGGTTGAACCTCAACCACGACCATCTCCACGAAAAGCTTCGAGGGGGAAACCGGCACAAACTTGGTCCAAATCTTTATCCTCCCTGTTCAACCTTAACCCAGTGCAGCCATCCGGGATGACTACAATCTCTCCCAAGTTTAGGCTTTCCGAAATGAAGTTCCCAGCGCCTACTCTACCTGACAGCCTTCGACCTCGTGGTCTGCGCATTGCCATTCAGCAAAAAATAGTGCAAAATCTCTCACCACCTCTCCACAAACACAACGCACAACCCCCACAACAGAGACATGGGGCTCACCAAGGTCGCTGACGACGAGTGGACACTCACAGGCGTCAAGTCGACCTTCACAATCCAGATACCCGAAAATCCTTTGTCTGCAGCTTCTGGCACTCGCACCCCCGTCTGCGGCTGGGGCTGGGGCTTCTCATGCGATGTCGGCGCTGCGTCCACCACTGCGTCGCCCCGAATCCTCGGCGTAGACTCGAGCATTATTCCTTGGCGGCGGGTCGCTATCTACTTCCACCCTGATCTCATCCGCAGTGCATCCTACGGGCGCATTACTTTTCACACCTCGGAAGAGGTCAATCTATTGCCTCTCGATGGGGAAGCCTTCCAGACCCAGCTCGATCTTCCCGATAATGCCAATCGCCCCAAGGCCACTTTGCATCCGCCGCTTGGGGTGTACATGTATCGCAGCGACGCGGCGGGGCCCGCACGCATCGCGATCACGGTGCAGTTTGCCACGGGGCTAGGGATGGCACTTCCGCGGCCCCGGGACACTCGAGTGGAGGCGGCGCTGGCGGAGACGATCCGGGGGGAGGAGGCGGTGGATGTCAAGTTCTATGCGTATACGAGCGCAGGAGATGGTTATGTCGTGCGCTCGCAGGCGCTGTTTGCGAAGATGGCACTGCTGCGCGGACACTCGGAGGCTCTCGATAACTGTAAGTGGCTTGACTTTATATTCAACTCGCGGTTTGGTCAATACTTGATACTACAGATCTTTCCGGCGTCTCTGGGGCAGCGGGCTTTGCGGAGTCGAAGTTGGTTGATCTCGATGCTGACGCACCGTTGGAGGAGCGGTTCGAAGGGTATGACTACATGTCCGACAGTGATTTGGATGACGAGGAGGATGAGGAGGAACAAACAGATGCACCGAGGTGGGTAGATCCAATTCTTGATTATTTTTTCCCGCTCAAGTATCCACCAGTAATGTTGCGAGCGCATCCAGCAGTTCCACAGGAGAAGTCTCATTCGCAGTTGTCCCCGGAGTTACGATAAGCACCCCACGCCGAATGGGTCGCGTCGTCCCAGTGAAAGGACACGCATTCAAAACGTAATATATTATCAACGCTCTCTGACATTCGAAAGCTAACGACGCTACATAGCTGGAACGCGCTGCTGTACTACTTGTACACGAACAAAATCAGATTCCGTTCGAGCGAGAGCGCCTCACAAGCGCCAGAGTGTTCCGCAAAATCTATGTACAAGCTCGCAGACAAGGTGAAGCTCATTGTTTCCGTTCTACAAGATATACAGGAACACCACCCAGTTCGCATTGGAAGAGTTGAAGTCTCGCGCGCTGGAATTCATACAAACACAGCTTTCTACAGAAACTATCGTGCACGAGGCGTTCTCGAGCTTCACATCCCTGTAAGTTAAATCGCCCACCGATCATTCTGGTCATTGATTGTTGAATCCCATGGCAGCTATCCAGAAATCCAAGATATGGAGGTCGAATTTTTGCTCAAACATCTACCGAATCTGAGGGAGGGGATGGGGGAGATGTTGAGAACTGTGTGCGACGAAGGAAAGCCGCACTGCTTCGGTGTGCTGCACAAGATCGTCTGCCGCGCGGGGGTGGGACCCACGGCTGAACCTTTCGGAGTTGGGATAGCGATGGATCTGCCGCCAGTGGGCTGGCACAGCCGCCGGAGCTCATGGGGTGCACCGCCGTTCGAGCCTGCGGACGACTTTGAACCGACTATGGCCCCAGCGGATGATCGGTGGGAAGCTATGCCAAGCCCAGCTCCTGCCCCCAGAGGTCACCGGCGTTGATTACCTCCCATCGCTGCGCGAAAACTTACATCTTAGCTGTACTAAGTAAGAATCACCATCGACTTTCACCGAAATTTCATCCTTCTCACTTCTAGTTCGGGGCTCGAAATTATGATAGTTATGTCGGTAAGATCTGTTAGCGAACTCCATAATCAAGTTCTCGAGTACTAATGCCGGGAGGAATCGAACTCCCGCTTCCCGCTTCTATTGTTGCAGGGAATTCCACGATTTAGCGCGGCCTCCATGGCTCACGACGTCTTGTAAACACTCCTCTTGAGAATGGATGAGCTTGCATGTGTTCGATGAGTTGTAAAGAAAAAGAGTCGATCTGCTCGATTAGCAGACCGTCGGGAGGATTTGAACCTTCGCTTCCCGCGCTCTCAACTTGTCTGGTACCGAAAGTTGACAAGTGGGGCAGGGGGTGTACATGGCCACGACGGCTTGAAACCATACCTTTTGCACTGGGATATATACAAGCCTGTATGTGTTCGATGAGTTGAGGAAAAACCAACAAAAAACAGACGACGCATGGTGGATGCCGCCGGGAGGAATCGAACCTCCGACTCTCACTTCCAACCTGCCTGCTACCGAAAGTTGGCAAGTGTGGCAGGCGGCCTCTAGGCCCACGACGGCTTGGAAACACTCCTCCGGAGAAAGGATAAGTTTGCCCTTGGTGGATGAGCGAGTAAAGAAGAAGGGACAAGATCAATTTCTCAAGTAATTTGTAATGCCGTTGGGAGGAATCGAACCTCCGCTTCCTGCTTCAAACACTATGGTGGACGACGTGTGTGATTGAGTTTTGGCGGGCGGCCTCCATGGCTCACGACGGCTTGGAAGCACAGCCTACTGGATGAAATAAGCGGTTCATTTCCGCTCCGAGTCGATGAGTAAAAAAGATTCGATATATCTCCGGAAATGCCGTCAGGAGGGATCGAACCTCCGAATCCTGCTTTCAACTTGTTGAAGATTCCGCAAATTTCCGCAGGCGGCTGCCATTGCCCGACGGTTTAAAGACTATACATTCGACCTGGGATAACCTTTCTTCTTTGTTGAACGAGCGGGTAAAGAAAAACAAGCGACTGAGGGCCTGACAATGCCGTCGGGAGGAATCGAACCTCCTACTCCATCCGTGACATGCTATATCACTTCCATGCTAGGAGGCGGCCTCCATGACCCACAACGGCTTGAAACACTCCTCTTGAGACGGAATAGACTTGCCCTTGTCGGATGAGTGAGTTTGTGAAGAAAAAGGGCCAAAAAGATAAAGTTGCAGGGAATGCCGTCGGGAGGAATCGAACCTCCGACTCCTACTTCCAACGCTTGCAACCACATGATTTTGGCAGGTGGCCGCCACGGCCTACGACGGCTTGAAGCTATACATTCGACCTGGTCACCTGGGATACGCTTGCCTTTGGTAAATGAGGGAGTACCAAAAAAAGAAACAACCAAATATACCGCGGCATGCCGTCGGCAGGATTCGAACGTCCGACGTTTTTAAACAGAACTACACGTTTAAGGCTGACAGGTGGCCTCCATGGCCCACGACGGCTTGAAGCTATGCATTTGAGCTGGGATAAGTTCGCCTTCGTTGGATGAGTCAGTAAAGAAAAAGGAACAAGCAAGGGTATTCAGAGCCTGCCGTCGGGAGGAATCGAACCTCCGACGCCCACTTTCAAACAGATCTATATGCATTTTCAATGCTGGCAGGTGGCCTCCATGTCCTACGACGGCTTGAAACCACACCTTTGAGCTGGGATAAGGCTGTGTTTGATGAATGAGTGAGAAAACAAAACGAAAAACAACCGGATGAGGAATCATGGTAATGCCGTCGGGAGGATCGAACCTCCGCTTCCTGCTTGCAACGGATGTTCAGCTATGTTCGGCAGGCGGCTTCCATGGCCCACGACGGCTTAAAACTGTACGTTTGTGACCTAGGATAAGGTTGCCCTTGTTGGATTGGTTTGTAAACAAAAAGGAAACAAACGCATGCAAGCATAATATCGGAGCAGGCCGTCAGATGGGATAACCAAGCATTGACCATCGCTCGCTGCTCCGAAAGTACGCACGGGACAAGTAGACAAAAACATGGATATCAAATTGATGCTGTCGGGAGGAATCGAACCTCCGTTCCCCGCTTTCACTTGTGCAAGATCTCAATGTTGGCAGGAGGCGTCCATGGCCCACGACGGCTTGAAACCATACATTCAAGCTGGGATAAGGTTGCGTTCGTTTGATGGGCTTGTAAAGAAACAGGGACAAAGGGACAAAATGAAATTCTTGAGTACCAATGCCGTCGGGAGGAATCGAACCTCCGACTCCCGCTTTCAACTTGTGCGTCTGGGGCAAGATTTCAATGTTGGCAGGTGGCCGCCATGGCCCACGACGGCTCCTAAGCACACATTTGACCTGGGATAACATTTCTTCTTTGTTGAACGAGCGAGTAAAGAAAAACAAGCGATTGAGGACCTGTCATTGCCGTCGGGAGCAATCGAACCTCCGACTCCTGACTAGTCCTGACTTCCAACACATGCAATTGCACCTTTAATGCTGGCAGGTGGCTTCCATAGCCCACGACGACCCGAAATCATGCCTTGCCAGACGGCATATGCTTACTTTCTTTGATGAATGAGCGGGCTGCGAATTTGAACTGGTTCACCGCCTCGTTGCAAGTCGAACAAGTGGCAAGAATTGTGGATATTTTTCTGAACGTCACACACTTGAGCTTGAAGATCAAGAAAGAAGAACACTGGTGACGCCACATTAAAAAGTCCTCGTTTTCCAATGCTATGCCGCCGGGAGGACTTGAACCCCCGGGTACTGCTTTCGTTGTTGAACTTCGGCGAACTTGTACAGTTTTTGGTAGGCGACCCCCGTGCATGGCCCACCAAGGCTTGAAAACCTTGCTTCTTGGACAGAACTAGTTTCTACGCGTTCAAAAAGCTTGCGAACGAGCCCCAAAACCAAAAAAAAAAACGCACTCGCCGATCCTCATGCCGCAGGGAGGAATCGAACCTCCGACTCCCACTTTCAAACAGAACTGCACCTTTAAGGCTGGCAGGTGGCCTCCATGGCCCGCGACGGCTTGAAAATATGAAAACACTACTGTATATCCGTCCCTTCTCCACGTCAACTCCGTGTATGAATTCAGCGCGTTTCGACACATCATGTGACCGCGTTGACCTTTCCTCCCACCATTTTCTTTTGGCTCCGTCGCTCCTCGGTTTCTCTCCAATCCGGGGGCCGTTCGGCCCATGAATTGGCGCCCATTCCATCACCCTCGTTCCAAAGAGGACTCAGCGAATGGGTCTGCGGCCTCCACGTTGACTGTTAAATTAATGCTCCAATCAATCAGCCTGCAAATTGCTCGACGTTGTTCATACTACGGTACCTAGATCCTTATCACCCTCCATCCACTTCTTTTTTTCTCCCGCTGAATGCTATTTTTCACCCAGCCTGACGCAGGCGGCAACCACACGAAGATCGCCGTTAAAAAGTTTTGAAACGACGGCGATTCGGATTCGGAAGCATCTGAACGGAGCCAAGGAGGGGACATCGGGGATCTAAGTTTGGGCGGCACGGCCAGAGTCAGACTTGGACTTGAGACATCGCGGACTCGGATCCCCTGTCACTTGCTTCCTGCGTCCACCTTGCACCCCGCGCCATCGATAAGCGCCTTATAAATTCTGTTCACGCCCACGACGTGAAGACTGAAGACTGAAGACTGCCTCACCTCCGTGTCCGGCTTTGTTTCGCAGTAGTAACGGTAACGCTGGGACTAATGCCGACGGCGGGCGCAAGCGCGAAGGCGGGGAAGGTTTTGAAGCGGTGCGTGGCGCGCTACGCTGAACGAGCGAGCGCTCACTGAGATTTTGGTGCAGAGCGAATCCGGGGACGATACAGGACAAGTTTTTGGTGGGGTATCAGGGATGGTGCGGCTGTCTGGGTGCTCCGCGTCTCCGCAGCGGGTGGCTAACGATGTCTTAGGTTCACATGCGGCGGTGATGGCCCGCCCATCGGTGAAGGTACGCAGCGCTTTCCTCAAGTTCATCGCGTGTAAGTACTCAGACTGACGAACACCACGCACGCAGGACACCACGGCTGGCTGCACTGGATCGACCAACCCCTCCCGCACGGCGGGCGCCCCAACACCGACCTCTGGCCCGACACATCCGCCTACGCCCCCTCCGAGCTCTACCCCGTCGCGGGCCTCACCCACCGCTCCGGCGCCCCCGCCCAAGTTTTCAGCAGCCGCGACGCGCGCACCGTGCGGAGGCACTTTCGGTGGATGGCGGAGCACGGCGTGGACGGCGCGTTTCTGCAGCGGTTCGTGGGGCAGGTGGATCCGGAGGAGGCGGGGAATCGCGATGAGCGGTTTGGGGGGACGAGGGGGTTGAGGGATGAGGTGGGGAGGAGGGTGCGGGAGGCGGCGGAGGGGGAGGGGAGGGTGTGGGCGATTATGTGCGTTTTTCCTTGCTCCTTCCCCTTCTATCCGTTCCTCTATTTCTTCCTTGCTCTTCCTCTTCCTTTCCCTTCCCCATTTCCATTTCCCATATTCTGCTCATCTTCTATCGCTATCCATAATCCACTCTAATCTACCCAACACTAACCCCCACCCAGGTACGACACCTCCTCCGTCCCCCCCTCCTCCCTCCTCCGCATAATAACCCAAGACTTCACGCACCTCCTCGCCTCCTCCCTTATCTTCACCTCCCCCGCGTATCTGCACGAGCGCGGCCGCCCCGTCGTCGGGCTCTGGGGCCTCGGCTTGGCGGACTCGCCTGTCGACGCGGAGACGGCGCGGGAGGTGTTTGGTGCGTTGCGCAGGATTGCAAGGGAGCATTATAGGAATACGGGGGAGGGGGGTGGGGAAGGGGGGGAGATTTATATTTTTGCGGGCGTGCCCAGCCATTGGAGGACGCCGGGGGAGGGCGATGCGCACGCTGATCCTGCTTGGGCGGATGTGTGGCTCGGAACTGGTTCCGGCGGTGGTAACCCCGACACACAAGGCTGCGTCGACGCGCTCTCCCCCTGGAGCGTCGGGCGGTACAGCACCGCTGCAGATGTAGAACGCTGGGCGGGGGAGCGGTGGGGGAAGGACGCGGAGCGCGTCGCGGCGCACAACGCCAACATCGAGGCGGGGGGAGGGGGGAGGAAGGTGGATTATGTGCCGGTTGTGTTGCCGGGGGGGTCGGTAAGTGTTTCGCCTTTCCTTCCTTCCTCCCCCTTGCCCCATCCTCCCTCCCTTCCTTCCCTCGCTCCCCCCACATCTTCTTTCCCTTTTACATCCCTTCACTTTCCAAAACCCCTCATGTTCATGCCGCACCGCTAACGCCACGACGCAGGGCTTCAACCTCTCGCGCGGCAAATGGGCGTTCAACGGGATCAAGCGCGACGGGGGCAAGTTCCTGTGGGCGCAGGTGTTCCATGCGAAAAGGCTCAAGGGGATAAGGAGTTTGTATGGGGCGATGTGGGATGAGTGAGTGCTTTTTTTTTGTGTGGGTTTTTGGCTTGGACTTTCATTCGTGCGACACTTCGTTTTCGCGTTTTCCCTTCGCTCTTTCCGATGCGAGCTGCATCGTCCTCCTCCTCTCCCTCCGCCTCCGCCTCTGCTGTGTTCCTTCGTTTCTCGTTACTGCGATTCCTTTCATCGGACTTGATATTATGTTCCCTCGGTTCTTTCCTTCCACCGTGCCCTCCGCTACGATTCCCGCCATGCGCCTTGCCACTGTACTTCACCCTATATCTGCTTCCCTATTTCTCCATTTTATCTGTCCTCTCCCTCCCGCGCCATTACTGTACTTGTGCCCACTCGTTACTGCGATTTCTTCCATCGTCCTTGTTATTATCATACCACCTGCGTCGTTCCCGTCGTCTTTCCTTCCCTACTTCACCTTATATCTACTGCCCCCCATCCTCCCTCCTTTGACCTCCGCTCTACTTCGATTCCTGCATTCCTCGTTACTACAGTTCCGTTCACCCGTCCACGCGTCCTTGATTACAATCATCATCTTTCCTTCCGTCCTTCCCAGACGACAATTTCCCTACAATCTTTCCTTTACCGTGATCACCTCCCCCTCCCCTCCCTCACCCTTTCTCCCCCTCCCCTCCCCTCCCCCTTCCCCCTCCCCTCCCCCTTCCCCCTCCCCTCCCCTCCCCTTCCCCCTTTCTCTCCTCATCCCTTCTTCCTTCCCCATTGCTAACCGCACGCACGCTCGCTGACTCGCGTCGCAGATACGACGAAGGCACGGCCTTCCTCCCCGTGATCGAGAAGAAGCGGCTGCTGCCCGAGTCGGAGACGTGGCCGTTCATGGCGCTGGACGAGGACGGGTATGATTTGCCGGGGGATTGGTGCGTTTTTTTCTGTTTCTCTCTCTCTCTCTCTCTTTTTTTGGCGGGGGTTTGAGAGGAAAGGGGGGGAGGAGCTTTTTTACAGATAAAGCGTCGGGGGTTTTTTCTCTTTTCGTGCTCATTGTCTTTTTGAAGACAAGGGGGATGAGGGGGCGCGATGCGCAGGGAGGCTCCGCCGGCCGTTTGTTCTTTCTTTTGCGGGCATGGACGAGGATGCTGCCAGCTTGCCCGGCGTCCCGCGCTCCACGCTCAAGGATGAGAGTCGGAGATGGTTTTGTCCCTGCTTCACATCCGCGTTCCGTGTTCCCGCCTGCGCTGCGACGAGCTGTGGCTTTTTTTTTGTTGTTCTTCGTTCTTTTGGGCCTGGAGACGATGTCGGGGTGGCACATGAGCTTCGGCTCGCGCGGCATTCCCTCGACGACGAGATTTGCTCGCGGGATTCTCACTATACAAACTTTCCTCGTTGCCCTTCCTTCTCTCTTCTCCCTCCTCCGCCCTCCCTCTCCTCCTCCGCCCGCCGAGCACCAACTGACGCTCCCTCCCTCCAGGTACATGCGCATCGCAGGCTTCGCCGCCGAGGGCCTGCGCAGCGAGCGCCGCATCCACGACTCCTTCCCGAGCAAGGAGCTGCAGGACTATTGGAGCTCGCGGCCCCGGTACGAGGACGATGTGTCTGCGTCTTCCGGCTCTGGCTCTGGCTCTGGCTCTGGCTCCCACTTCTCCACCTCCTCTACTCTGGCTACATCTACCCCCGCCCCGGTCCAAACCGCGCCTACACCGCAGGAGAAAGAGAAGGAAGAAGAAGAAACCCCCTCGGAACGCGCCGCGCGCGAAGCGAAGGCGCAGTTTGACGCGTGGGCGGAGGAGCAGCGGCGCAAGGAGGCGGAGGCGGAGGCGATGCCGCCGCCGGCGTATACGTTGGAGGATGAGGGGTCTGCGGTCGTGGAGGAGGCGGTACAGCCGGTGCAGCAAGCGCCAGTGCCAGTACAGCCAGTGCAGCCAGCGCCCATTCGGCAGCGACAGCCCGCGCCGGTTCAGC